TAGTGTGTGGATGCTGCGGAGTGTGTGGATGCTGCGGGGAGTGTGTGGATGCTGCGGGGAGTGTGTGGATGCTGGGGAGTGTGTGGATGCTGCGGGGAGTGTGTGGATGCTGCGGGGAGTGTGTGGATGCTGCGGAGTGTGAAGATGCTGCGGGGAGTGTGTGGATGCTGCGTGGAGTGAGAGGATGCTGCGTGGAGTGAGAGGATGCTGCGTGGAGTGTGTGGATGCTGCGGAGTGTGTGGATGCTGCGGAGTGTGTGGATGCTGCTGTGTGTGAGGATGCTGCGGGGTGTGTGGATGCTGCGGAGTGTGTGGATGCTGCGGGGTGTGTGGATGCTGCGGGGAGTGTGTGGATGCTGCGGAGTGTGTGGATGCTGCGGAGTGTGTGGATGCTGCGTGGAGTGTGTGGATGCTGCGGGGAGTGTGTGGATGCTGCGGAGTGTGTGGATGCTGCGGAGTGTGTGGATGCTGCTGTGTGTGAGGATGCTGCGGGGAGTGTGTGGATGCTGCTGTGTGTGAGGATGCTGCGGGGTGTGTGGATGCTGCTGTGTGTGTGGATGCTGCGGAGTGTGTGGATGCTGCTGTGTGTGAGGATGCTGCGGAGTGTGTGGATGCTGCTGTGTGTGTGGATGCTGCTGTGTGTGAGGATGCTGCGGGGAGTGTGTGTGTGTGGATGCTGCGGGGTGTGTGTGGATGCTGCGGGGAGTGTGTGGATGCTGCAGTGTGTAAGACTGCTTTGGTCGGAGGCACAGCTGCCAGTCTCTGTCACCACGTACAGCAGCACAAAGCGTATATTTGGTTTCTCGAACATCTCTATCGACCAATCGACCAAAGTCCGTGCGCGACTGTAGAGCGAGAAATTAAATAGCGCGAGCGACAACTAGAGCGAGCAAAAATATCAGGGAGGCGGTGTCAGACATGCTTGATATTGAACCGAGTATACCGAGTGCCGTGCAATGAAAACATCCGATGGTGCAATCGTGTGCAGACCTTTTGTGCAGTGCTTGTCATTTAGCACATTTTTAATGTGTGTACGGGGCTGCCATGGTAAAAGCTTCACCCGCATGTGAATTTTCTGTAACGCGAGCGCAGGCATGCACACACGACCTACCCTACTGTCCTGAGGCCCGTTGTCAGAAACGGTCTTAACCAAACCCTTTTTGTATATACCGTCGATAATAACATGGTAAAGGTATTTCTCATACGCAGTGTATAGAGGTCCGATCTACGAGAAAAAAGTCGATGTTAACACTACTGCTAATATTTCTGACAACGGGCCCCTGCGTTCGATTTGCGTTTCCTACTAATGCTGCTAACTATGGATGCTGCGTTTAGAAACGCTCGTATGGGTAGGGCTTGTTGTACAGGCAACATGTTGTACGGGTGTTATGTTGTACGGGCGGCATGGTGTACGGGCGGTATGGTGTACGAGCAACACGTTGTACGGGCGACGTGTTGCACGGGCAACATGTTGTACGGGCAGCATGTTGTACGGGCGACATGTTGTACGGGCAACACGTTGTACGGGCGGCGTGTTGTACGGGCAGGATGTTGTATCATTCGTTGGGGTCAGATGGTAACGCGTGTCAGGGGCGCGCAGAGAGAATTAAGCTACGCCCTAGTAAGTTCTTACACACGCACGCACATACACACACACGCACGTACACATAATATGTGTGTATAGACTCGGCCTTGAGATGTGTACGGTGATAAGCGATGTTTTCCTTGATGTATGTATGCCCTCGAGTTAAGGGTATCACGAGATAAACAAACCAAGTGGTCCTCTCCTCAGATATGTAAGTTATCTTGAAAAAAATAATAATAAAGAAATCGAAATAAAGAAAATCGGTATTACCCTCGACCTCCAGTCTAAATAAAAAGAGGATTTGATTTTTACGTTGATTTTTCTCGGTTCACAAAACTCCATGTTGCCCTCAAAATCAGGAAACGATTGTATAATATATATATATATATATAATTTTTCTCGGTTCACAAAACTCCATGTTGCCCTCAAAATCAGGAAACGATTGTATAATATATATATATATATATAATATGTGCGTGCGTGCGTGCGTGTGTGCGTGCCTGTGTGCCTGCGTACGTGTGTGTTAGTACGTGGGTGCATGCGTGCGTGCGTGCGTGCATGCATACGCCCGTGTGTGCGTGCGTGCGTTATGTAGTAGTTTTTATCACTTGGTCTAACTTACATTTCTAGTATTCCGCTCACACCCTCTGTCACGCTTGCAGACTCGTCTGTCGAGCGCAACCACCTGATGAAGAAAGTCTACCCGAAGCTGCAGCTGTACTGCGCCGAGCGAGGCTGGGAGTTGCACATCGTTGACCTGCACCAGGGTCTGGTATCCGAGCTCTCCCACGTCTCATACATGCAGCGCTGCTGCCTAGACGAACTCGCCAGCTGCCAGCAGCATCCGTACATCTTCGTAGTAAGCGCATCTTCATTTTTGTTTATTTATTTATTTATTTAGAGAACGATACGGTACGATGGTAACAAGATATATCAACATGAGCTTGCCAGCAGCATCCGTGCATCTTCGTAGTCAGCGCATATTTATTTACGTTTATTTATTTATTTTGTCGTTGTTAATTTAAAGACGGTACATTGGTAATAAGATATATTAACATGAGCTTGCAAGACTGTGTGTAGGGCTGGACGAGTCGGCGACTAACGGAGAGGTGGTGCGCGATGGCATGGCGGACCAGCGTACGGCATCACCTAGCACACAGTCTGTCATCCGGCCATCCGTCACGTCACCGCCGCTAGTGCTGCTCCACGGCGCCATCAATCCACAGCTGAATGACTTCAAGTGGTAGGTTACCGCAGCTCGCTTGATTGATCTTTGGACTCAGTGGACTGATGGAGGAAAGGGTGTCCGTTTATGTCGATTTTCCATTAAATGAATATTAGGGGAAATACGGAGAACGACGTAAAACAGCTTAGATGCAGCTCAACTGCTAAGACACACAATAAACGCGTTAAACAGGAAGACACACTAAATATATAACACAGTAACAATGGATAGTGAACTAACAGTGAATTAACGACAATAAAACGGTTAACTTAATTTCACTTCACTGAAACAGTGGTGTCTGTGCTCATGCTACGGATAGATGCCTCCGAAGCAACGTATTTTATCCATTGAATCTGAACTCCGTTATAGACATATCCGTTGATTAGAGGCGGGCTTTGTAATAATACAGTATTAATACAGGAGGAAAGAACTGTTACTTACTCCCGGTCTCAATAACCGATGCATTTCGTACTCAAACGTTTTCGATTGACCTTCGACGCGTTCTCCCATAATTAAACTGTCGATTACGTTTGTGTCTAATCTATGGGCTTACTATGAAATGCCATCGTATAAATACAGATCACGTGCCGCGCAAACTGGTAATGTGTGGTTGCGTGCCATCGCCGTAATCTTGGCTTAAACGTAATCCCTGAGTCGACACCGACGCTTAGTTTGCCCGCAAAGAACTCTCCTAGTTACGTGCAAACCCGAAACGGTCGCGTGGCCAAGCCACCAGTGCGCTAGCTCCTCGCGTTTTTTCTCTTTCTCTTCGCGGGCCTAGATCGTTGTCATAGTCGCGTGTGGTCATCGGGACATTTCCCTCCACATCGCTGCGTTCTTCGGAGCTTCTTTTGCTGCTCCATTTGAGTTTCTAATTCGTTTTTCTGCCCGGTTTAGGTTCCGTTGGTCTTTATTTTCGGTTTAGAACTTGCTAGAGTTTGCTGATCACATTTGCTTCAAAATTCACTTGCTGTTTTATTTTAGGATGAAAACGGTTTCATTGCAATGCGTTATAGCCTCAAAACTCATTTGCTGTTCATTTTCTCGGTGCAGTACTGAATGTTTTGAGGTTTATATATTAAACGTAAATTTTAGGTTCAAAACCGTGTGATCTGCGGTGCATTATAAACTGCTTACTGAGCATTTTCGGTTCAGAACTACTTTGCTGTTTATTTCATGTTTAGAACTACTTTGCTGTCAATCTTAGCTTCAGAATTACTTCTTTGCTGTGCATTTTATCTTTAAAACTGCTCTCTGCTGTGTATTCCTAGGTTCCCGGATGACATCAAGTCGTTGTTGCTTGGTCAGTTGTCAGGGCAAGCAGATGTGCCGTCACCGAAAGTTATCAAGCTCTACGTCAGTGCAAACCCAACAGGTGAGTAGCATGTGAAACTCGGAATTCTTTGTGTCTTTAATTACTCCGCCGTGGCATCGTTATCATCATCATCGTCGTCATCATCATCGTCGTCAGCAGCAGCAGAAACAGCAGCGACAGCAGTAGTAGCAGCAACAACATCAGCAGTAGTAGCAGTAGCAGCAGAAGCAGCAGCCGCAGCAGCAACAGCAGTAGCAGCAGCAACAACGGCAGCAGCAGCAGTAGCAGCAGCAGCAGTAGCAGCAGCAGCAGCAGCAGCAGCAGCAGAAGCAGCAGCCGCAGCAGCAGTAGCAGCAGTAACAGCAGTAGCAACGCTCGATCATTGCAGATGAGTTTATTTGTGCTCAGACTTGTAGCCCTGCGTTAATTAGCTCCGATGGCAAAAAGCGGGTTTTCGTCCCATTTCCGAAAGTGAAAGGCCTTGTAGTGCGCAGCAGCAGCAGCTAGCAACGGTGTTGTGATTGCGTCCAGCGGATTGGGCCTGCCGGCTTTAAAGCCATATTTACGAGAATTATCTAGTGTTTCCCCACTTTTATGACCGTTTAATTACCTACCGTTGTTGCTTGAGTAACAGCAACTGTCTAGAGTAACGATAAAATGTATTAGAATCTTCGTATTCACCAAAACATGCAAGTTCGATTACCAGCGAGCCTTTTCTTGTAATCTTAGACCAGTTAGTAGCGCTACCAACGCCAGCTATCGTCCATAGACTTACACGTCTCACGCAAAATCTCGTTTGCACCAACAAATTACAAGCTGACACATTTTGACGGTGTCCAGACACGATAAAATTTCTGTGTGCTACGATGTGTTCACATCCAATTTTCTATGCTATAACCGCATAAAATCTGAGTGTTTGTCAAGTTAGTGTAATCAGTGATATATCCGCTGTGAGGTGAGACTATATTTCGCTATATTAAGCAAATAATCTTGTCATAAAAACTTTAAGGCAAAGCGACCACCGCTGGGGACCTCACGCTATAGGGATTTTGCGCACAGACAAAACACACTGGTCTCTGGATGGAGTTTAATTTATATCGTGCAACTAAAATAATTTTTCTTGTCTAAAACATCTAAACTGGAGTCGGGATTGAATAAATTTATTCACATGGGTACAAATTCATTCAGTGGGAGGGAGCTTTGGAGGAAAATCATTATTTTTTAAATTGCTCAGTTATGTATTAATAGATGGACGAACTTGATTTGGGTCTCGTGCTTGCTGAGATGGGCTCTACCGGCGGGATGATCATGAACGCCTGCACGCGTGTGCTGAGTCGCTCCGACGATCCGTCGATCGGCTGTCCGGTTCGATTTCGACTCGCGGCTTTACACGTGTCGTCACTGAGGCGACATTCTAAAGCTCCACGTTTGATTACAACGTGGAAAATCGGCAGCGAAACCCACGGCCATGCGAATCTGTCTTACGAAACCGCGCGCGCGTGTGTATGGATGCTGCTGTGTGTGTGGATGCTGCGGGGTGTGTGGATGCTGCGGGGAGTGTGTGTGTGGATGCTGTGGAGTGTGTGGATGCTGCTGTGTGTGTGGATGCTGCGGAGTGTGAGGATGCTGCGGGGAGTGTGTGTGTGGATGCTGTGGAGTGTGTGGATGCTGCTGTGTGTGTGGATGCTGCGGAGTGTGAGGATGCTGCGTGGAGTGTGTGGATGCTGCGGAGTGTGTGTGGATGCTGCTGTGTGTGTGGATGCTGCGG